TAATACTACTCTCTATAAACACATCTGCACTAGTTCCTACAGATGTGGAAAACAGAAACATCTAAAATCTGACTCCATTTGATTCCTTTTTACTTTAGTTATTAGAACAATTTGACCTTATTGATACTTATTTCCACAATAGAACTATTTTGATTATTCACTAGTCTAACTATTATTACTATTGTTTATTCTGACACTTCAACCTATAGCTCCTCGAATCCAATGACATTATAGCTCCAGACTATTTCATTCTATTCTATTATTGTATGATCTATTATCTTAAAGAGTAGATCTGTTTGATGTTATAAGCGCTATTATTTCTCCTTTTGAATTTGCACAACACTAAATTTAGAATGACCCCCTATGGGACAAATATAGAATTTTATTCCATTTTGGCAACTCCGAAAATTACTTAATAATTTTCCCATTTTGCTTTTTTAGGCTGCCCTTTCTATTATTTATTTGTTCTTGTAAATATATGTTTTACACTTCTTTCTAATGATTTAGAAGGTTAAGGACCATGACCACCTATGACAATAACATTACAATACTCCCCTCTGTTGGTCGTGGTCCAAAGTATAAAACATGCATCTGTGTGTGTGTAGATTACTGTTCCAATCCTCTCCAGTTGTTCCTCCCGGATCGTCCTCAATTCATATTGTGGGCTTTGGTGCCAAAGTAGAGGCTCATTTCCTTAATTCATACTACTGTCATCCCTGAAGCAGGTGCAGTTTATCTTTCATCTGAAAAACAAACATTAGAACACAAGAAACGCCCACTTCCCCCTCTTCGCATGGTGCAGCCTGTCAATCAATCCAATTAGGCAAAACATAACTACATTGACAGACGGTGTGTGACATCAGGGCAGAGGCTGTAGCCAAATACAGACTTAACAATATGTATGTTTCTAATTTTATACTCCCCTAAATGTGAGTTACAAACCAAAGTTGTCCTCCGCCCAATGACCGCTCACTGCGGTTGGACCGAATCACTGTCAGGACAAACAGCAGAGGGAGGGGCTCCCAGTACCTTCAGCAAGGTATTTCATCTCAGAGTACTTTCTCAGAGTACTTTTCTTCAGAGTACTCATCCCAGAGTACTCTCACTTTTACACCTGTTCAATAAAGCTTGTTATCTTTGAATCTCTAGTACTTACATCGTATGCTGTTGACAAAACATAATTATTCCATGATCACATTAAAACATTACAGAAAACTTTTGTTATTCCATGATTCCGTTCAGCACTCCTCGTTCACTCCTCATTTCACTCCACACACGCATCACTCACTCAGGCCGACTCCCCACGTTAGTATTTTGGTCCAGAGTTTGTTAAGGTCAACGTAGTGCAATTGACATGACGCACAAACATATAACACACACAAACATATAGCACACACAAACATATAACACAGAAGGCCTGTAGTTTTAACTTTGTTATATTTTTCCATGTCCAATTACAATTGTCTCATGAGCTATTTCTATTGTTGCAACTTTCAGAGCCTGCAGAACATGCAGAGCTTTGAGAGATTTTTCCTAAAAGGATCCATTTCAAACTTTAGTGTTTAAACCACGTGGTCTGTACTCGGGCTTGTCACAGACTGTGTCCCCTATATTTTTAATGAGCTCTTGTTACTTAAAAAAAAACTCATGCACGTGCAATAAATGTTTTTCCCTTTTTTTTTTAAAGCCAGTTCGGATTCCTTAAAAATGTAAATTAGTTTCAAACTTTAATACTTCACCTTTGTTTCACGTTCATGTGGAGAAAAGACCATTGTTTTATGTGTGTGTACTTGCACCAATCATGTCTCAGATAAACTGCCAACAGTTATCAAAGACATAATTGTCCTAATTGTTTCTAATTTAGCTATTTGGAAGAGAAACATGTCATAAAAGATTTCAAAAAATGTCCCTACATCTTTGTTTTCAACCAATGAACAGTGTTGCGTCTATGTGTTATCAGAAATGATCCAATATCACCTTTAGCCAAAATTCAGAAATGCTTTAAATCATTTTTCAAACTTTAATTTGTCTGAACAAACCATTTTGTACTAAATGCAGCGTCCATTAAAAGCTGCAGTTCTCTTTCTAGCACCAGTTTCAACTGTGCATGTGATTGTTCTTAAATGGGAAACGAGCCACGGTTCAGAGGTTGAAAACACTGCTTTAAATATCCGTATTACCAAGATCATGCAGTCAAAATCAATAATTCTAAACTTCTCCGCGTCTATAACTTTAAATAATAATACTAGTTTCAATAATAGAGCTCCTCTACCTTAAATATACTGCTGTTCTAATCTCCTTGTGTCTCATGCTAAAGCAAGAGTCTAATTAATTTTAACGATTGTCCTGTATTCTTTCATGCAGCTAAATGTGGTGTTATGAACGAATGACCTAGCTAAATGTGTAAATATGACTTAATATGTCTCTGTGCGTTTGTTGCCTGTCTGTATATTTACCTTCTGTGTGTCTCATTTAGGCCAGCCACGTCTCAAATGTCCGTTAATGTCTTTCTTTTACTCATGGCGTCTTTCAATGTCTTTTGTCTCAAAGTGTCCAATGTCTTTGTCTCAATGTCTTTTTCTTCTTCTTTAAACAATCACTTTCTTTCTTCTTCTTTAAACAATCACTTTCTTTCTTCTTCTTTAAACAATCACTTTCTTTCTTCTTCTTTCAATCACTTTCTCTCTTCTTCTTTCAATCACTTTCTCATGTCTTTCTTTGTCTCAGTGTGTGTCCTTCTTCTTCTTGTTAGGTTTACACAACGTTCTTCTCCGTGCACATAACTCCACTCGGTTTGTGCAAAAGTCTGGTTTTTCTCCATGAAATGGGGCTGGAGGAGTCTTCTTCGAGAGTTCCTGTTAGCTGCTGCAGCCGATGCTGCTGTCTTTGGTGCCCCCTGTGGGTCTGGGGGAGACGCTGATGGTCCGTGCTGATGGCGCCCGATTGTGGTTTGTGGCAGAGACGATTTTTGGCCAAATGAAACAGACAGAAGTTTTCTCGGAAAAAACAGACAAACAAGAAGCACAAACAAGTGTGTTAATTACCATACGAAACCAATGATTAATTACAATTCAAAATAAACCTATGAAATAATTAATATTAACATTTTAAACATTAAATTCTGAAAACCAAATCTGCATTCAACTGCTATCCTAAGCCCTATTTTTCCAAAAGTATAATGCTCTCTAAGATCATTCTAACTTTTATATCACCAAAATGTAGGGAAAAAAACTTGTCTAGACGCCTTGGAGATAAAAATAAAATAATGCCTCTTTATAATCTAACTCAAAGTTCTGTGATCCTATGACTCCATGTCAGTAACATTATCGTGTGTATAAATGTAATTTTCTACAAATCAAAAAATGTCTTTGGTAATAGTTCTGTCTTCACGAGAGAGAGAGAGAGAGAGAGAGAGAGAGAGAGAGAGAGAGAGAGAGAGAGAGAGAGAGAGAGAGAGAGAGAGAGAGAGAGAGAGAGAGAGAGGAGGGGGAGGGCTGAGTGGCTTCTCGAACAAAGGAACACATGGATGATTGAAATACACCCCCTTTTGCCACATTTTCCTAGTTTTTATCGTGATATAGTTTTAATCAGTGGTAAAAGTTTTTCTCACGTCAAACGACACTTTACATTTTATCCTTAAATACGTCAGTAATGGAAAACATTACTATTTGCTTACATGTCTAACAGTCCCAGCAGAATCTCTTTTTTTTTTTGATTCTCTGTAACTATTAAACATTACATCAGAATAAGAGACAAACTTCCATAACTGATCATTTCTTCACATGAAACTCGTATACTACAGCCAAGAGGCTCTCTTTTTCCTCATTAATCAGATCATTATTATCAGAATCCACATTTTAAATACTTGGCTTTTCTTCTGTTTAAATTAATTGTACCCTTTTTTTCCGCCCCCGGGGGATATAGAAGGTTTTATTATCCTATCACTTCTGACCCTAACTGTCCCTATTTCTCTAATCCTATTTATCTAAACACTTGTGCCTCTTTTGCACCTTAAAACGGTGTGCCTCTTTCGCACTTATAAATCCTGTGGCTCTCTTTTCAACATCTATGTTCTGTTTTTTTAAGGAGGGACCAATGCTTCCCCCAAGGCTAAAAACGTCTAAACCTGACTATTGTTCTATTGCGTCCGATAGAACGCCCCGTCACGGCGGTCGTCTGGCCACGCTGCAATCTGTCGAGCCAAAATCTCTCTCTCTTCTATTTAAAACAATGTGCAGATTTTCAAAACTGTGATCCGCTTACCTTAGAAGCGACCTTTTTGAAGAGCAGAGAGATTTTTCCAAACCCACAAATCCAGTCTCTATAACTGAGCTCATCTCCGTCTTCTTTCTGTATCAAATCACGTCTCGGGTCACCAAATGTAGCCAATAATTCCCTTTGGCTAACGTGTCCACAATTTGATACAGAAATCAGACAAAAAGATTCTCCAAGTTTAACATCTGCATTTAATTATCTTTACAATCAGATACAGAATATTCAACAAAAATGTGCTCCTAAAACTATGCATGTCCCTCTCTCTGGCCCTCGGCTGACTGACTGCCAATCTCCTCCCAGCAGTTTCTATCAAAGGGTCCGATGACGTCACAGATCTGGGACTGGTCTGGCCCCTGGTCCTGGTCTGGACCCGGTCTTCCATCTCCACCTGAGCAAACAATGCCCCCCACCACTGGGCGCCTGATTGTGTTGGACTTTTGCCCTCGTCGAGAATGGGAGAGAGCATTTGTTTATTCTGGGAGTCACTAATTGGTCTGGTTTGTAAGCTGGTCATCTCTATGATTCCTGAGTGCATATTCCTTTGTCTGATGTGCAGCATTTTGTGAATATTCGTCAGTCTGCATGCATACTGAGACCAGAGTGGACTGACCAGTTTGTAAACACTTATTTGTGTGTGGTTGTGTAGCGTTCAGTCTAAATCTCCTACGCATAAATGATTGTGTTGCGATTGTCTAATTGCACTGCAGCCTTGTTTGTGAGAGTAAATGGATTTGTGGAACATGTGGAGTGCTTTTTTTTGGCGTTCGCAGCAGAGCCCGTCCACAGCGTCCGTCTGGGCGGCTGTCTCTGGAGGTGGACACGGTTCACGGAAGAGTGCGCTGGCATCAGGACACGACATCGTGGCGAAGCAGCGGCATCTGTGTGGGGCCTGGACCTGGTCTCGGTTCTGCATCTGGAGGACGTGGATCCGTGACACTGCAGGTTTGGACAAATATTCTCAGATTTTTTGTCGTGTGGTGAGATGAAAAGGGACCCAAAAACATGCAGGAATGCAGGAAAAAAAATGATTTAATGAGATGGTAAACAAGGCCAAAACCAAACTCGAAAATCCAACAGAGGAACCAGGAATACAAACTAACATACACGAACAAAGACATTGACAATGGACCAGCAACAATGGGAGGGGAGCACAGGTGCAAATAGAGTACCTGTGTACCACAGTAAAAGTAAAACTGAACTAAAACCACAGAGAACAAATAAAACCAATTCAATAATCCTCACCATGACAATTTGGCTTTTAAAGACATTCTTTTGGGAACATATGTTGTAGTGTGAAACCTGATAAATATTACATTCCTATACTTTTAAACCTTAAAAGCTGTATTTTAAAATTAGATTTCAGTTGGAGGGCAGGCACCATTACAACACTGCGGAAGAGAAGCACATTTTTAAATAAAAGTTTTCCCAGATCATTATTTGATCGTGATTAGATTCATGAGGCCGACATGTTATTTGTCTGAAAGTCGTTTGTTTTGGTCAAACATAATCCATGTTTTTGGAATATTATCACGGCTTCTTTCATGAGGAAATAGTTGATTCTGACCAAGAACATTTGGAACTTTGTCCCAGCAGAAGGCCAGTCCCTGTGCTCCTCAGAGTCCCAGCAGGAGGCCAGTCCCTGTGCTCCTCAGAGTCCCAGCAGGAGCCAGTCCCTGTGCTCCTCAGAGTCCCAGCATGAGGCAAGTCCCTGTGCTCCTCAGAGTCCCAGCAGGAGGCCAGTCGCGAGTTTGTGTGATCTTACCCTCTGTACTTTCCAATTGTTTATCACCATGGCAACATTTTTATTCATTCCGAAACCAAGGGATTTAAATGTTTTCATGAAATGAAGCTAATGCAAAGGTTTTGTCTGGAGTCTTCAGTCCTTCTCCTGCTACTTCACACCTGTGCCTTCGATAATCAATCACACATCAGCTTCATCCCGCTGCATTCAAACATCTTCACTCAGCTTCCAGCTCGTGCAGAAACCCGCCTGATCACACCTCAACAATGGGACATTATTTCCCATGTTATTTCCCTCCGGGGGATTTAACTTTTTCTTATCTTTAGTTAAACTCTGTCCTCCGTACGTCATGTGATACTGCGGCTGTGGTCAGAGCTCCAAGAATTCTGGGTCAAACAAAGGGAAATGAATTAACCCCGTGTTCAATACGCCATGTCCCAGCCGACAAAAACTAATATCATTGCAGAGATAACTGAAGGCCGTCTGGGGGTCGATGCCAGGAACATGTGAACGTAACTCAATAAACTTTGTTGACCTTTGTCTGTGTCTTCCCAGATTGAATGCTCGTCTGTTTCCAAAAGAGCAAAATTCTCTAAAAATGAATGTCAGGCCCAAATCCCTGCGTTTCTAAACTCCATATGGACCAAAACACTGAACATGAAACCAATTTATAATAAAAATACAATACATAACATTCTTTTATGTGTTTGCAGCTGGTCATTTTTCAATTTGGAAAAAACAAATAATTCAGTTCCTCCCTCTGGTGGAAGCATAGGGAGTTACAAGCAGAAAGCATTGTTTTTTTAACCTGTCATACTGGTTACTGTACATACTATACATAGGTATATAGGAGGATTATCTACTTTCGGGTGGATCGTCAAGACCATTTAAATAAAGCCAGAGAGTTTTGTTTAAAAAGTGGAGAGGGCAGTTCTTTTCTAAAATTAGCGAAAAAACTCTTCTATACCTTCAATATATTATTTCACATTCTAACACATGAAATGACAGTATAATAGTCTCAGTGGAGAAGGAAATAGTCTCATTATAATTTTGAATGGACAAAGTAAATGGGTAATATTTTGTCTAAATGGTGTCTGTCTAAACCACTGTCTCTAATGAAACGAATCGAAAGTCTCTTAATAGAAAAGCAGAAGTAGCAGATTTATGATGGTCATTTGTCCTTATGCATTATTCAGATTTTCCTCAAGCACAAAAAACGCTTGTTCCTTTTGTGTATTTGTGTAGAAGACGTTGGAATATGTGCGCACCAAATACACTTGTTTGGCTTTATTGTTTGTCGGGTAATTATTATTGAGTTATTCTCCGCGATGGCGTCAGAAAATACACCGTTTTTTTTGTTCTTGTCAAGTTGAATTGAGTTTTGTTCTTTCATCCAGCAAAGTTTTTGATTACTTCTGAAAAGAGAAGTGAGTGGGCCATTTTTCTTTCAGAAAAAACTAAAAATGTTTTCAGAGTTTGTTCAATAAGTTTTCATCCAAACATGTCTGACTCACCCAGTCCACCTTAAGACACATATGCAAAACAAACTCTTTTTAAGATTATTACATTGTATTTGTGAATTAATTTGCATGGCCATACCTGCTTGTGAAAGCTCGATCCCGCCAGGCCTCTGAATTTAAGCAGGGCAGGGCCTGGTTAGTACCGTGATGGGAGACCTCTGGGAACACTTCACCCACATTGCCTAGAATGAGTCTGGTGAGTGCGTACATTTTTGTTGGTGGTGAGAGGGTCTGGTGGCACATACTGGTTGCCTCGCTTCTGTCAGTGTGCCCCAGGGCAGCTGTGGCTACAGTAGTTTATCACCGTCTAGGGAGTGAATGAATAATGACATGTGGAGTGTCTTTGAGTGTCCTGCAAAGGCGCTATATTAAACCAATGCATTATTCTTACATTTACTTCCTTATTTGTCTTCTATAAGTAGAATGATGATTACATTGCTTTGAAATTGTCTGACTGAAGAAAGATGTGTTTTCAAAACAAAACACGCACACCCACCTTAAGTGAAAGCTAAATCTGTAACCAGCGTGGTTAGTGAGGCTTATATAATAGTTTTGTTATAAATTAGTACTGGTCAAATCGTGTTCACTGTAATGTTTTATTAATGTTAATTCTCTATTGCAAAAGTCTAACAAACAAGAATATGAAGTAAGTATAGAAATCCATGCACTAATGATGTTGTCCTATATTATTGTCTTTAAGCAACCAGTGAACTTAAACTCAGATTGAACCTGGAGCAAGATGTTCCTGTGGGCAAGAACAGTTATAGTACACTTATAGTACAGCACATGTGACTTTATCTTCCAAAGAAGACTTCTGTCTGTATGTTGGTCCTTTATTCTGTGTTAAAATCAGTGGGGGCGGGTCAAAATAACAGGCGCTGACCAGTGGGGGCGGGTCCCAGCTCAGAAGTGGCCAAAATGACGTGCGCTGACATGCTTGCAATACCACCCCGGGCCGATGGGGGTGGACCCAGAAGAAGAATTAGCCAATGCTAACATATAGCATTGGCAGACCTCTCAAAAACGTCTTTACAGGATGGACCAAAAGTTGGCTCTTGGCCCAAAGCTCCGTTCCACATGTGTGTCAATGCTGAAGGGGGTGGATTTTTTTGGTCCACTCTAGTTTACTTGATGTGAATTTTTGAAGTCTTTCGTTCAAATGAATGGAGCTGCGCCGGCTGACGCATGCGCAGATGCGTTTTTTCACAATTTTCTTGTGGGCGGGACCACTCGTGGCCATCTTGGATTGCTCCATGAAAGCACTTTTCATGGCCAACTCCTATGAACGGCGGATTTAGGCGTGACTCTGTCCGTCAATATATACAGTCTATGGCGCTGACATGCTTGCAATACCACCCCGGGCCGATGGGGGTGGACCCGGAATAAGAATTAGCCAAAGCTAACATATAGCATCTTCTTACCTCTCAAAAACGTCTTTACAGGATGGACCAAAAGTTGGCTCTTGGCCCAAAGCTCCGTTCCACATGTGTGTCAATGCTGAGGGGGGTGAATTTCTTTGGACCACTCTAGTTTACTCGCTGTGAATTTTTGAAGTCACTCGTTTAAATGAATGGAGCTCGTGCCGGCCGACGCATGTGCGGATGCGTTTGTTCTCATTTTCCAGCCCCCGCGGCCATTTTGAATCACTCCATGAGAGCCCAATTTTTGGGCCATTAGATAGAACGTCGGATATAGGCGTGACTACGTATGTTAATATAAACAGTCTATGGTTAAAATACATTCACTATTGAAATATACAACCTCAAGTTTAAAACCACAGATTGTCCTGTGTTCTGTCTGGAGGCACTTTGCTGTGTTACATTTACGGACAGTGGTCGTCCTGCTCCCAGTTTGTTTGTTACTATTGCATTTACGATGTTCGAACTGTGAATTCTTGTGAATGCTGGTTCATAACACAGTTTACCTTGGAAAAATTCACACAGACAAAGATTAGTTAGTTTGTACTTGCATACAGCAAAGAGAAATGTGCCTAAACAGACAGAGAGACAAGTGTCACTGCTGTAGTTGGCTCATGCACCAAACCTGTCTCTGGCTCAGATAAAAATAAGTGAAAGTAAAATCACATTGAGTCATAATCTTATGAAACATATCCTAGTTTGTTCCACTTTGGAAGCGTCATCAGGCATTTTGGCTCAGCAGATCTATCATGGGCTATGGTTTGATGAGCAGTGTGTGTCCGGCCTTGGTGCCATTTCTCAATAATCCCATTTAGTGCCGTGTGGAGTAAAACCAGATGGTCTCTTTGTGAAGCAGGGCCTCTGTGGTTCTGCATCTGATTTACTACCCATGAAGTTTTCTTCACTTGAAATATCACATTACAATTAACAGTGAGGAAGCTGACGAATTTGGACGAATACCCATTTTAAAAAGTTAAGAGGCAAATTTCACAAATGGTTGGATTAAGGGATTTATGATTTATAATAAAGACAGTTGTCGAGCAGACAAGCATTGGCTCCTTGTAGGGTTTGAAAAAATCACGGTTCGGATCGTACCTCGGTTCGGTTAAATTTTCGGTTCATTTAAAAAAAAAAAAAAGTTTTGTCTTTTTAATAAACACGGCTCATGTGGACTCGGCACCTGCTCTGACTGCCCCCCCCCTGACCTAGAAATGGATTAAGGGGAAGGAAAAGGATGGATGGATGGAAGGCATATTCCATCCATCCAATTATGTCTTTTTAACATAATTAATGAAAAACAACACAAAGTGCAACATAAGAAGGCACTTTATGAGGATATTTACCCTCATATATTAAACCACCTTCCTGATTCTCCCAAGGAGGCGCTCCATTCTGGGCCCAGTCCAGCCTCATTCAATTTTTGGCATTATCAGTTGTGACTGGGATATTAGTACTGGGCCTTTGTCTTCCATTCCTCCGCTGCTTGTGTCAGTACCTGCGGATGGATCTATTATAGGTTCCGCGGGACGTCCAAACGTCAGTCGTGAGCGCAGCTGAGGATGCGCGGGAGAGTTGACTTTAGCCCGGTCTGCCTGTGCATAAAGGGGAGGCTTGAATGCCGCTGCAATAAGCGGTCATTGAGACGCTTTTTTTCACTCATGTCTTTCTTGTGCCACAGTATTTACACACTGTGACAGTTTTGTAGACTATTTAATCATCAGTATAGTTACAGTGAAGCCAAAATGATCCCATACAGGGGATTTAAATGACACGGGCTTTCAAGCTTCTGTTCCTCTGCTCGCCATGACCACGCTGTGTGTGGACTGAACAACGTGCACACTTTTTTTTCACAAATCAAACTGCGGATCACGTCTGTACCGAACCAAAGACGTTGATCCGAACGGATCACGGATCAGAGATGAACCGTTGCACCTCTAGCCCCTTGTCATCTGTAAGGCCATGATGGGACTGCTGCCTCAGTATTTGGCAGACTACCTAGTGCCCAGGAGGGCTGGAGCCCATAACCTGAGGTCTCAGAGTGTCCTGATGCCGGCCGTCCCCAAAGTTTTAAATCGTCACGCTCTCGCCACTTTCTCGTCCCGCTCTCGTCCCGCTCTTGTCCCGCTCTTGTCCCGCTCTTGTCTCGCTATAGCTCCAGTCTGATCAGAGGTGTGAGTGTATGTGCATGTGTATGGTTGTGCGTGTGTGTGTGTACGTTGACATAAACCTAAATATGTAAGTAAGTAAATGAGTTTCTATGGTACAAAACACCCGGCCCTCAGCGAAAAGTCCTGGTTTAACGTTTAATGTGACACAGCGATAGCAGAAGCACAGTACGTCCTCTTTCAATCTAACTACCTTCGCTCTAAAGCAGTTTCACAACATTCATCTTTTTGACGGCCGTATCTGTAAAGGAAATGCTGACTGACTTTTCTATAGGCTCTTGTGCTTTAAACCCTGGGGACGAACAGGAAGTGATTCAGAGCAAAAAGAGCCAGACGTCTGAAGAATTTACAGCCGGCGGATTTATACTTGTGTTTGCTGTGGATCTGCTGCTGCTCAGAGAATGACAATGCTTTAGTGTTTTAGCTCAGGCTCTTTTTTTCACTCAAAGATCCATCTTTATTTCTATCCAGCGATGGCTCATTAAAAATTATGTGGATAGTAAAAAGGTCTCACAATTTATTAAAGTGATAGTTTGGAACTCTAAATGAATTACACATTTTAAGAATTGTATTAAATAAACCTGGCCTTAAACGTTGATATGAAATAAGTCATTTTATTAATTCTAATATTACGGATAAGTCCCGCCTTCCATTCCACGATGTCGTCCACCTTAACCAATCAAGTGATGCCAAGGGCTGTCAATCATCGGCGCTGTATACTGAACCTATATCCATAATCAATTTTATACTGAGGTACAAGATTTGAAAAAAAACGACCCAAACTCCTCCCCCTTCTTTTCTGATTGTTCTACGCCCACGTTTCTGTAACAATCAATCAACACATTTAAATGTTAATCTGAGAACACATTATACATATACATTATTAATACACATGCACGGAGGTTTTCAGAATTATTTGTTAATGTTTTCATGACAAAAGTAATGTTTTAAAGCGCGGTAAACCCGGAAGTAACTATTATCATTAATTGAACATTATAGAACACATCTGCAGAGGATCTGATTATGGATATAGGTTCAGTATATAAATGATTATGGATATAGGTTCAGTATGTAAATGATTATGGATATAGGTTCAGTATATAAATGATTATGGATATAGGTTCAGTATATAAATGATTATGGATATAGGTTCAGTATATAAATGATTATGGATATAGGTTCAGTATATAAATGATTATGGATATAGGTTCAGTATATAAATGATTATGGATATAGGTTCAGTATATAAATGGGTAACTCAACGCGAATGTTCAGAATTCTTTGTTCAGTTTTCATGTAGTTCCAGAGCCTAATAGAGGCTTGATTCGGAGGCTTCGCGAAAACAAACAACTGAGCATGAGCAGCTACGAGCATCAACGCTGATGATTGACAGCCCTTGGCATCACTTGATTGGTTAAAGTGGACGGCATCGTGGATTCTGAACTATAGCTAATAGAAGGGAAGGCGGGACTTACCCGTCTTATTAGAATTCATAAAATGGCTTATTTTACATTAACATTTAAGTTCAGGAGGTCAATTTATTACATTCTTAAAATTTGTAATTCATGTAGCGTTCCAGATATTACTTTAATCCCTGTGGCAGAACTCTAGGATAGCACAAGGGCTAAAAGTGGAAGCAATGTCCAAAAAAACATCTGCATGATTATGTGTTGCACTACATACTGTTTGCTTGGATACTCAAACCCAATCCCTGTAATTAAAAACAAACAGTGAAAAACTGTTGTGCCTCAGTCATTTTACTGCTTTGCGTCTGCTCCTCATCCTGCTTGCTTTATTCGTACATATTTTATTAGTGTTGCTGATCTAAAACCAATCACATTCAGGTGTACAATATTGTCTGATGTATTTACTCATTACTCTTGATAGAACTAACACATAGGGTGTCATAGGGAGACACTGCCTGCTGCAAGGACACCTCCCTCCTTTGACTCTGAGGCGAGATGGAGAATTTCTTCATTTCTCTGGTGGCTCTGAGCATCTGTGAAATTATTAAGAATTGATGCTTTTACTGAGAGATAAAGATGAGATTGAAAGCATTACTGTTGCTCTCCGGGAGTTCCGTCGACAGCCTGTGGTCCCACCACAACTTTCTCTTCAATTCAGTCCCAATTATTAACATACAATAGCCTGTTGTTTCAGAGGACTTTACAAGAATGTAAATTTGCCAACAACAGATAAACAAACCATTAGAACACAGTAAATGTAATAACAGACACAAGAGAGCCATTGAATCAGAGGGTCCATAGACGTCATTGCTGTCTTTAGACTGTTGTTCAGCTGTTCAGCCTGTTATCTAGGTGGCTCCGCCCACAAGGTACCCCAACTCTACAAAATGGCTGACCAGGGCACAGCCTTTTACAGGTAAGAATTACAAAAAACAAAACACTATACCAGAGAGATGACTGAAAGTAAGGGATATAAGGAGCAGTCTTGAGAAATGTGAAAGATACAATTGAGAGGACTGAACCAAGCAGAGGGGGAACCTACAGTCCTGGGATGTCAAACTGGGTCCATGTACGGCTGCTGTGGCTGCAGGATTTCATTCCAACCAAGCTGGAGCACAGAAAACCCTTTTCCTCAGGTCTTCAGGTTACGATTGCTAAGACTCACTTGAGTTTTACTTCCTGTTCTGTTCCCCTGTTGACTGTTTGCCCCGCCCTGATGTGTTTCACCTGTGTCTGTCTGCGTCCATATGTACCTGTGCTCCTCTCCCTTTGTTGCTGGTCCATGGTCTTGTTCATGTCTTTATTCCTGGTTCCGTTATGGATTTTCAATTTGTTTTAATACCTTGTACTTTTGTTTTTCCATCATTAAATCATTTTAATTTTTCCATTCCTGCATTTTGAGTCCTCCATCATCTCACTTAGTGGCACATGGACACACACACTCAGGCAAAAGTGAAGCACGGACCTGGAAGAAAATCAATCACTTACGAATCCTCTCACAGAGAAATTAACAATGATTATGCTAGCACAGGCTACATTTGTTAAGCCGGAGAATGGTCTGTAATTCTATTTAAAGCAGAAATATTATGCCTCATTTGGGCCATTGGAAATTTAATGGGGCTTCTACTTTGTCGTTTAGAATGTGAAAGGATTTCCAGACAATATTTATTTATTTTGGCTTTTATAACAGACCTTCCTTATTTGTAGTAAGTAGTCTTTATTTATATACCGCCCTTTCACTGCAGATCAGAGTCTCAAAGCAGTTTACAATGGTTATTATTTTGGGCATTGGTCTCTCACTCCACACAGAGATGGGAGCGGGGGCAGATCTATTGTACAGGTTTTCAGTGGTAGGGGAACCTACGCAGAAGAACATGCAAACTCCACTCAGAAACGACCAGGATTCGAACCCAGGACCTTCTTGCTGAGAGGCGAGAGTGCTATCCACTCAGCCACCGCCCAATTATTATTGTTACTTGATAACAACCCATGCACCAAAAAGTACAGAAGTCACACATACGATATCATTAGATTAGTGAATCAATCAATCCTTATTTGTATTTGGACAAGTAAAAAAAACAGCAACAATAAAAAACACAGAAACAAATGTACACGTAAAACTTGTCTCTTTCTAATAATCTAATACTAATGAGTAGACCCAATTCCATGTCTTCTCACCTTAGTTATTTGAAATGTCAGCAACACTTCCCACAGTGATCTTATCTCATGGCAGCATGTTCTAGAGCAGGGGTTCCCAAAGTGTTTAGCCCGTGACCCCCATGATATATATGTATGTATATGTGCTGCTGCCTCGCTAAGGTTAGGTTAGGGCTTTTCGCTCTCTTTTTTTTGAAAATGGAAATCCTCATGTGACCTCCCACTTTGGGAACCACTGCTCTAGAGCAGGGATGTCAAACTCATTTTGATAGAGATAGATTTAAAGACACAAGAACTGATTGGAGCCCGAAGTATAGCAATGGTTTCCTTTTATCTTTTATCCATTTATTTTTTAGTAGCCCATTACTATCAATACTGCAAGTTACTGTGATCATGATAATTGAAATTCCTTTCGGGGGCCACTAAAATGGTCTCACGGACCGGATTTGGCCCTTCGAGCTCGACATTCCTACCCTAGAGTGTATTGCAAAGGAGTATTCAGAATAGAGTTGATTATAGATTTGTGCTGATACTAATATTCACTTCTCTTGTGTAGAAAGCTCCTCATTCCTACAGTGCTGTAATTTGTGATGCAACACTGACATTTCTCCACTACTGTATGGAACAAGTTAAAGATCTCTTAATGTTATTCTTTTTACTGATTACAGCTGCAGAAACCCTGTGCATTAGGTTTGAGAACTTATGTTTGTATCTGCTTTCATTTAGGCAGCTTTTTAAGTGCTATTGTTTTGTTTGTGAATTTGGTTATACATTTAAAACATTGACACCCCTAAGCTAACCCTGCACTCCTATGCTAACAAACACACTGCAAAAAATGATGAAAATAAGTCAAACATTTTTCTAATTTAGCAAAATCCATCTTCATTTGAGCACATTCTGACTGCCTTAAAAAAAAAAAATTCTAATTGGACGGGTAAAACGATCTTGTATTTCATAAAATAGTGGAATATCTGCCTTGGAGTGAGAAAATAAATCACCTGTTCTTGGAATAAGACTTAATAGCTTTGTCCCAATGGTGAATCTTGTTAGAATGTCCTCAAATTACGATAAAAACCCAGCAATTACTACCTCACATTTGATCATTTTCTTGCTGTGCTTACACAAAATAACTCGTCCTTTTCCATCCTCTCGTTGACGACAGCTCTCTGTGATGTGCACCAACCTGCTCCCTCTCTTGTTACTGGGTTGCACATATGCCAGTGGGCTTAACCTTGCCGTAGACGCAACCTCCGGTCCCTCCACAGCCAGGATCAGAGGTGAGAACACAGCTATACTCCCTCGGGAACTCCACCAAACAGGTCTTAATAAAGAAATACCTATCCCCTTCGAAGTCGACGTTGTATTTCCATTTCAA